AGGTGCTTCTGTTATTTTGTCCGCCTCCTGTAGGCAATATGTTAAAAATCTCCCACCTTCTATCTGAAGCAAGTGGAGATTCTGAGGAGGAGGGTGTGTGTGAGTGTGTGTGTGAGTGAGTGAGATACAGAGAGAGGGAGAGAGAGGACTGCCGTTGAGATTGGACTCTATCACGTTTTCATTATTAGTCTAAAATGCTTTAGTACCTTATTAGCGCAGGCTGTCATTCATCTGTCCTGTCAGTCAAAGATCAGTCACGCGGGATACGTTAAGTTCAGGTAGGTGAGTCGAATCGCGCGCCGATGTATGAAATCAATTCATTCATGTAGTGCCTTTGGTATATTGTGTCTTTTTAATTTGATTTTTTTATAGAGCACAGCATAAGCAACCCGGACAAGCGTTACACAGGTTTCAGTTAGACTTTGACTGCTGAATACTTGCAGCATTTTCTGTTTTGTGTGGAAATCGTTAGCTGCACTGACCACGACTGTCATGATGGCATTTGCTGTAACAACACATAGTAACAAAAACGATTTTTTTTTTAACACGATTCTAAATAAAAGCTGGCTTTACGTAGCTACATATAGACATGTGAATCGCCGCACCACCAGCGCTATGGAGAGTCGCTTCTTTATGAATGAAACGGGCTGCGTATGATATGGTGATGCTGAACTCATAGTTTACTCCTGTGTGTGTCCAACAACCGGCCCCATGATGATATAAAATGTATAAGATACACTGGTGCAAACTGCCTGCAGTCTTAGAGACCGTGGGGATTTCCATACACGCGTTAGGGCTTTTACATAGCATATACATTTTCAATGTTTGATAAATGTACGAGTGTGTGCGACAAACAGTAAACCAGCAGGATCAGTCATCCATTTAATTGGAAATATATGTAGGCTATATTCATGTAACTTTGCATCATTAAAAAGGCCTTTTTTGGATGACTAAACGGCTGAACGTATAGCAATAGTGGGCTAAAGAGTCTGATTTGGTTGTGCAACGTGAACATTGAGAAGAGGATCCGCGCGCTGCTGACGTCCTCTTGGGTGCATTAGTATAATAATATATCATCGTATAGAGCCAATGCATGACCCCCATGGTAGTCTTGTTGCGGAAGATGATGCAGCAGGCTGCGCTCATAATGGAATCTAATGCAGCAATTTATATGGAGACTAATTCACAGACGTGCTTCAGTTTTTAGTATTGCACCAGAGGCAATAATAGAATGCTGGAACGAGCTGAATGAGAAAAGGGCGAAGCACTTTTCCAGTAGCCTATGCTTTTATTAGTAACAGAAGTAGTAATAGTAGTAATGTTTAAAGCCTTTTAGACATCCTCACCTCATCTGGCCTATAATGGGATTTAAAGGTGCACTCAGTCATTATTTGCTAATTAAAAAGTTTTGCAGATAAATAAGCTGTACATTAAATTTGAGTTATAAATGTTATGTACAATAACGTGAGATGACAACTTAAGTCGTAGGCCTAGAAAAAAAAGTTTTAAATGGAGCGGGTCGCCCCTCATGGATGCTTCCATGTTGACTTCACATGACCTGTCCTATCATGCAGAGTGTAACAGTTGGGTTATGGTTGCAAAATTGATTAATTTCTCCATAGGGAAACTGATTTTAACAATATCTTATACACTTTTAAAGACAGACTTGCTGTGATCTCAAAGGTTGTTAACTGATGGTCTATTATTTTGTTAAAGTAATTTTTTTCCTTGTCAGAGAATGGATGTGGGTGGTATGAGACCATAAACACAAATAAAGGAAAGGACCAAAAGACTTGTTGCAAAGCATCAGCAAATCACAAACTTAATGCATCCTTGCCAGTAGATGTCACTATGAAGCCCAAAACTGTTGTAACTATTGGGACAAATAAGAGATGAACAAAAATTTAGGATGTATCCCGGGGTTCCTCAACTCTAGACCTCGAGATCCACTTTCCTGTAGAGATTAGCTCCAACCTGGATTAGATATACCTACCTGCAACTTTGTAGAAAAGCCACTAGAAGGCAAGCCTGTAACCTTTAGCCAATAAAGCGTAACGACTAATGCTAATACTTCTGCTTTGGCAGTACGTGGGAAAGGAGACCAGAGGCCGTTTTCTTATTTTTTTAATGGATGTCAGTGGAGGAGAGGCTTCACTACTCTGAATAAACAGCTTTTTAGAGGAAACAGCTAATCATTTAATGATTCAACAGCCTATCGGCTAATCTTCAACATGTTTTACACTAAATTATACTTTTGGATTGAACTATTTTTAGAGTTTACACCACAAATTGCCGTTTTATAAGAGAAGTCACTGACTTTTTGCGACAGGTGGGATTCAGCTTACAGCACTTCTCATTCATTCCTATGGTATCTCTGTAAACGGCGATTGAGTGTTGCACAACTCTGACTGAAATTTAGTGATGTCAAGGCTGTAATGTGATTGGTTATTAAGGCACATGTGATCCAAGTTGACAATTATACTTTCTACAATAGTAAGTAATACACACCCTCTCATCTCCCAATAGTAGGTCAATCTAGTCTGTTTGTAGTAATCCTGAAGACCTTGATTAGATTGTTCAGGTGTGTTTGATTGGGTTTGTAACTAAACTCTGCAGGAAAGTGGATCTTATGGTCCAGAGTTGAGGACCCCTGATGTATCCGAAATCTCCCCCTCATTCACTATTCCCTACATTACTCCACTAATATAGTCTTCTTAATGAGTCAATTGCAACAAGTAAATTAGGACACTGAGTGCACCAGAGGTGCTAGGGACACCATCTTCTCGCAAGATGCAAGAATTCATTCAGCAGCGCTTTCACAGTGGTTGGGTATTCTTTAGCACGGGGGTTCTCAACTCTTGCCCTCGATGTCCATTTCCAGAGTTTAGCTCACCTTGATCAAACATAATGCTTGTAACTTTCTAATAATCCTGAAGACCTTCATTAGCTTGTTCAAGTGTGTTTGATTAGAGTTGGAGCAAGAAAAATTGGCCTCAAGGGCCAGAGCTGAGAACCCCAGCTTTAGTGTAGTGTTGAGTGTACGTTGGTTCCACCTTTGAGTTGCAATGTGGGATTAAATGAGTGAACTTTATGTCCCCTCAAATAGCACTATAAGGGTATAGGGTACTGAGTGCACCTTTAAGAGTGTATCACTGTATTGAGGGGGTCAGGTGTTAACCTGGTGGGTCTACTTTATATTAGGCCTGTTCTTCTCTCTTAGAAATCTATAGTGACAGATTGGTCTCTGCTGCTCCTAAAAACTCTGAGCTCCGGCCGAAACAGCCCTGCAAGAGCTTATAGTGAGCAGGCCACTTAAGAGCAGTGTGACAAGATGTTTTCTTCTTTTAGTCCACTACTACGAGGCTTTACTTCTGTGTGCACTCCTTGACAGATGCAGAATGTATAACCAAGTAAACTAATGTTACTTAGTTGCCACAACCTCCTGTGTGATTTAAACAAGGAAATGAATGGTTGTTTTCAGAGCAAACCGTAATATAGACTAGAAATTAGGGGAGAAACAATACATAAATATGGATTGATGGATCAATCAAATGCAACGCTTAAAAAAAAACAATATATATTTTTAAGATGTACCAATTTGACACTCTCATGTTAGCCACATCTGCACACAAATGCATTTTACTGAGCTGTCATCAAATATTTGACAAGTTTTCACTTTATTCTTTAAATGTGTTTTTTATATATATATATTTTATTTTCTATATAAATGCATTTTTTTTTCAACAACTGGAGTGGATACTAGATTTGCACATTTTAGAGACTGGAAGAGTTTCTTGGCTTTTGTTATTGCTTTTCTCATTGCACAAGCCAATAATGAGCTGTCATCAGATGATTAATGATATCATTATGTTTTTATATTAATTAAAAAACGTAAGTATATTTTTTGTGTGAATGTCCCAGTTGGGATACAGGATTTGCAATTTTACGGGAGTTCAATTAAATATTCATGTTATATTTTAGGTATATTTGTGAGTTATGTAACTGGTAGTATAAAAAAGTCACATAATATTAATTATATCAATCGCAGACCCCTGAATCTAATCAAAACGCAAATGTATCACAGCATGTTTTGAGGTATCGGCAAATATCACTTGCTAAAAGAATCAATGTCAGACCATATCGTCTGATTTACACCCAATGTTAAGAAATCTGTCTAAATCTGTGTTAACTAATTTGTTCTTTAAATATATTAAAAGTTTACCTGGAAGACAGATGTAGTTCAAAGGGGAGAGATCAAACCATGTGACTGTTTCACTCTCATAAAGACTGCAATTATCCTTGAAATTTATGAAATGCTCATGATGAATTTAATAAGCATGCTCATTTGAGATTAACTGATTAAGTATATAAACTCATAGACATTTACCACCCACTTAACCTCACCAGTTAAGCCGAGAAAATTCCTGCCTAGAGAGCTGCAATGTTATTAACAATTAATTCGAGGTGTAGCAGCTAATGGAGAAAAGGTACTAAGCAACCAGACTAGCCAACGGCCACATGCATGTTCAAGTTCTCGGGCAGCAAACCTCCAGTCATTTGCTAATGATAGTAAATCAATCAAGTTTATTTGTGGAGGACAATCCATGCATTTGATTTAGCTCCTTATACCCTAAGGCATTGCAATGGCTGAGCATAATGTTTAAATGTAAATCTCAGTATTAAGGTTTTAAGATGCAGGTTGTCTGCCAGTGCGTAGGCCAGTATAAGGGATCAAGCACAAAGCCTCTCAAAAAAAAAATTACTTTATCATCTCAGGATAAACTGCAGTTTACAGTGGTCTTTATCTAGTTCAAAGATCTGACATGATCTCTAAGCTAATATATCAGACCTTAATGCACTCTGTCCCTCAGCTCCGGCCTCGTATCACAGGAGCTTTGCTTTGTGGCATGGATGCATGCTGGGAATTTTAAATCCTTTGAATTGGGTCACTGGAAGCACATCCAGCAGACAGACGAGGTAAAGCACAATGATTAGCCTCTAAGCCTAGTCCACAGAGGAGCAATCTGTTTGACGGACTGATCGACAAGAGCAAGAGAGATGTTTCTTGCAATGCTGGCAGGGACACAGTAAAACTGCAGAACACTTATGGTAAGGTAAAATGCAACAGAGCAATTAGCCAGTCAGCTGAAGCTGTCATGTATAGTCATTTGTTCTGAGTTCATGAGGTTGGAGAGTACCATTATGGTGCCAGGTATATTGTTAACATGTATTTGACTTTATTGATAGTTGCTTGCTGTTACTTTTAAATTATTTGAATGATTACTTGTGCAGAACTGTTTTATGCATATTAAAATCCTTTATTATTATTATGGTAGGGATGTATTTAAAGGCATTGTTCACCCAAAAATTGAAAATTCTGTGATTATTTACTCGCCCTTATGTCATTCTTGTATGACTTTCTTTCTCCTGTGTAATACAAAAAAATATATTTTAAAGTTTTTGTTTTGTCCATACAATGAATGTCGGTTCCAGTGTTGTTTTAAACTTTATTGACTTGACTATTGAATTGTATAAACAAAAACAGTTGACAGATGACAGAATTTCATTTTTTTAGGAACACTATTCCTTTGAAATCTAGCATGTCAAGTGTTTATTAAATATGCTCTATAAGGTTAATTTTGCTTTCAGTATATGCATTAATTATGATTTTTGACATATTTGGAAATGTATTGTATTTAAAAATTCCCAGAATAGAATCTGATTTGGCCCAACTGACTACTATGAAGCAAATGTGTTAGATTTATGAAGGCAAATGTGGTAGATTTAGTCAGGCCAGTATTTATTTACAACTCTGTTTTTGATCTAGACAGAATTTTCTCATGGCCCTGCACAGCTGAATGAGTGAGTCTGGGCTAATCCAGCAATATTTGGCGCAGAGAGATGGCAGATGGTATATGGGGTATTTATAGGCTGTATAGCCCTGCTCCCCTTATGAGTCCAAATTTTTAGCTGCTGTACTGTAAACACTGTATGATACACAAGCACACGTCTGTGGCATAAAGACCCAGCAGTGATTTCTTGACAATAATAACTTTGTAGAGTGTTGGGCATTTTGCATTTAAATGAAAGATTTAAACAGTTAAATCACCTAAAAATGAAAATTTTGTCATTATTTATTGACCCTCGTGTCATTCCAAACCTGATTGACTTTCTTTTTTTTTCTGTGAAACACAAAGGAAGATATTTTAAAGAAAGAGAAAGTCATACAAATTTGTATGAAAGCATGTTTTCACCACAGAATGAAAGAATAAAAAAGGTCATTGTGACTTTATATCTGGCTTTTAAAAAAAAAAAATCTGTTTCTACATCTTGCAATACTGTTTTTTCCCCCACCACAGAATAAAAAACAAAAAAAGTAATTGCAGCATTTTATTTCACAATTCTGACTTTTTCCCCTTGAGGTTATATCTAACAGTTCAGACTTATCTTTTCAGAATTGCATGATCACAATTATCTTTTAATTTTTTTTTAAATACAAAAAACAAACAAACAAACAGAACTGTAAATCTTAATTCAGAATTCATAGAAGAAAAGTCAAGGACAAGAGGATGAATAAATGATGGCAGAATTTTCATTTCTGGGTGAACTATCCCTTTAAATTCTTTGTATTCGGTTCTAAAGTAAATTTCTTCATTATTGCAGTGCATCTGGATATTTTATCTGAACAGCAACCAAAAGAAACACTTATAGACATACTCATCGATCTGTTTTTCCCCTTGTTGTTTGACTAAGTTATTGTTTAGAAATATCAATTTTGATCACAGTTACAAAAACCCCTTCTGCTTAGCTTTTATTTGCACCACAAGAAATAGATAATGACAATACTAAGTCATGCACATAATGGCACCAAGGCTATTTTTCCATTTCCGTACCCCTCCCTCTTAATATTCGTCCCACTCTCCCTTTCTCTTTCAGTCTGCACATGCAGTAACCAACACTTATACCCAAGTTTGATTTCCCAGAACACTGACATTGGTCTCAGACTCAGTGTGAACACTAATGTGCGCATACAGATGCCTCTCTATCTCCTGTCAATGTCTTTAGTATGCAGTAAAGCGAGGCATATCTGATTCCCACAGAATAAGAGTAATTTCTGAACCGAAAATACTTTTTTTCCTTCAATAGAATATTGGTATCCATGGGGATATGACAATGGAACTGCCATTTATGGCAGAGTGAAAGCCTGGTTTGACTGATAAAGAGAAAGCAGCTCTTTAGACAGCATATTATGCTGCAAAGCTTCTCACTCAGATTAGAGCAAACTCAGGCTAATGGACTCGGCCTGATGGGTGTCCTGTGGAATCCAATGCAGTGATTCACTTTAAACGGCTGTTCACACGCTTCAAAAACAGATAACAATAGTGAACAAAAAATAGTGTGGAAACAAAATTTTTACTCAGAAATTGCTAGTAAACTTCAAAATTACGAAGAATCGGCAAGTAGAACAATTAATTAAAAGTGACATTTTTCAAGTAGAAAAACTTCTATCTACAGTATGAATTTCTTTTACAGTTTTCTCATTCACTTTGGCCCACTTTCTGAAACACTCTTAACATTCTCTAAACTTGGTAAACTTGACAGCTTGCCCAGACCAAATGTCAATTTATTGAAATTGCTCCTAAATAATTCTTTAGCTATTAGTAAACATTATCCAGCGAGGCCTATGTGATATCAGCAGAAAAGGAAAGTTGTTCAAAACAAACTAGGAAGAACTTTTAATTTGTTTGGAATAACATGCACCAATGATTCGCTCACAATAAGCCCAGAAAGCAAATATAGGGTCATTTGTCTATATACTGTTGTTTCCGACTTCTGTATGCATGGTCCTGGAGTGTGTGGTTTGCAAACAGAACCGCCAGCATACTGAGCCTGCACTTCCATTTACTGTGATTGTTTAAGAGCATGTGGCAAGGCGCCCGTGTGCTATTCAGCAAACATTACCTTTCGAATCCTAATGTCTGAGTGATATATTCCACATTCACTTCGGTAAAAGCAAGGTCATTCCCAATTCTGGCAGCATCAGCACATTGCTGTGAGAGAGCTTGGGAGAACCTTGAATGAGGGACATGCATTATAATCTCTCCTCGTGCCAAACTTAATCTATAATGGAGTTTGGCTGGAGTAGTGAGACGCTGTAACAGCATTAATAAGCTCAGCGGCTCTCTGGCCCTATAGAATAGATAACACAGCACTCCAAGGTAGATTGACATCAATCACAGCGCAGAAACAAGTGTGACACCTTAAGAGGGGCGAGAGGGGAGCACCGGCAGCCTGTCAGAGGCCTGAAATCCACAGACACTAGCATTGATCAAAGGCTCAGTGTCCTCTGCTCATTGATTTGACAGCGCGCAGAGTGAGAGAGAGAGGCGGAGAGGCACCAGGGCTTCTCTCAGATGAGAGCTTGACTGCTGTTGGGATTGCTGCACCCTGCCAAGCATGTCGCTGCACTTTAAGCCCTGAGTGCAAGTAACCTGGTGTCATAATGCTGGATGAAAATATGAAGCAAGCCAGTTTTGAGAGACATCGTTGGTTTCACATAGTTTTTTTATTTTCAGAACCTTGATGTCATTTTCCTGACACAAAACTTTTTTGACGAAAAAAAGTCATCACTTGCAACAGGCTGTCCAACTTTCAAAACACTGTATTTTGCATTAATATCTTTTACGAAACCTTGCACTTGCAGAATGTTCAAATAACTCATGAATTACCATATGAACATTCCTTTAGATCACCCATACACAAGATATAGATTCACTGTGTCGTTGTTTGTACAATCATTAAAACTGTAGTACAAATTATGCAATGCATGTTTCATTATGGTACTACACTCAGACAATGAAGGTTCCAAAAGGGTTTGTGCAATGGAAAGGTTCCATAGATGTTAAAGGAATAGTTCGCCCAAAAATTTTAATTTGCTGAAAATTTATATACACTTTAGGCCATCCAAGATGTAAATGAGTTTGTTTTTTCATTGAAACAGACTTTGAGAAATTTAGAAATACATCACTTGCTCACCATTGGATCCTCTGCTGTGAATGGGTGCCATCAGAATGAGAGTACAAACAGCTGATAAAAGCATCGCAATAATCCACAAGTACTACACGATTCCAGTCCAACAATTAACATCTTGTGAAGTACAAAGTTGTGTGTTTGTAGTAAAATATGAGTCCTCTATCTAATATTTCTTTCTGCAATGACAAAGTCGTTTTGTCTGAATCAGGAGAGAAATATGCACACATCAAGTACTGTTTAGTGAAAGCAATCCAGAATAGTTTTAAATAAATATGTTGGGGGATTTTGACGTGAGAGGACAACAGGGGATGGACGTTTTCACTGGGGGAAGCATTATTGTGGATTGTGGACTTGTATTTTGACCAGAAGCAACTGTTTAAAGATAAAATGTCTTAATTATGGATTTGTTTATTACAAACACTCAGCTTCCAACTTCACAAGATGTATACTGATGGAATGGAGTCATGTGGATTACTTGGGGATTATTGTTTTATCAGCTGTTTGGTCTCTCATTCTGACGGCACCCATACACTGCAGAGGATCCATAGGTGAGCAAGTGATGTAATGCTAAATTTCTCCAAATTTTCAGTTTTTTTTGGGTGAAATATTAGATGCCAATTAAAGAGCCTTTATTTTTATACATGTGCACATACAGTACATCACTTTAAAAAGACTAGCATAGAGAATACCACAGACACAGTAAATCATTGAACAAATGCCAAAATTAACAGTACTAATGAAATAAACAATCACACTTTGAATCAAGCTGTATTATAATCAGCTCAAGGTTTCTGAGACAAATAATGTCTGTCATGTCTGCCATCATATGAATAGTATATGTGATGCAAGTTCAGCAGAAACTTCGATAGAACTGTGGTAGTTTCATTGGAGGTGTCTTTCAGTATCCCTCGTCTGCTGGTGTGAAATTGAGGTATTGATTACTGAAGTTAAAATCGGTGTAAAGCCTGGAAATTGTGTTCTTGCTTGCTTCTGCATAATCTATACACAATTCAATGTGTGTTCTATGTTTGTGGTTTGTGGACACTGATGGATATGGTCTGTGTCTTGGCTAAATTATTCATGAGAACATTAAATTGCACATATAAAAGCTTATTTAAAAAAATCTAAAACCTCTTTTACTTTCAGACTGATACATAGCGTTTCAATCTGAATGCTAGTGTGCTCAGGAGCAGAAAACTGTTTAGAATTATGGTTTTGGCTCTTGAGGCAATAAATAATGCACTGCTATAAACTGCAGCGAAAGCAAGAGAGTGTCTGAGGGCAAAGCACAGATACATTATGATGAGTTGCAATGTGATTTCATAATAGCATGATGGATGACAAGGCTCATGTCTCTTTCTTCAGAAAAGCCACTTGAGTCCTGTCTAAGCAAAACATCTCTAAATGTGTTTGTGGATCATACCTGTAATTTAGAATTAGATAAATATCCAGTAAATAAATTATGATCATGTTAAATGTTTAAAGCATAATGGATTTAAATAGGATATGTGATGAAGTGTTTCCGTTCACTAGCAATTTTTCTGTATACACTGAACACGCTGTGTGACATGCCACAATCACAGCCAGTCAGAATAAATGTGATGTTTAATTTACAATTATTTTTATTTATTTATTTTTTTGAGGAGTGAGATTTCATAGTGGACATGGCTACTCGTTGTGAGAAATAGAACCAAGCATTCATCAGCATGTTTGGTGATTGATGACATTTTTTTTGCTTGTCAATCATTCCTGTCAATCAAGAACCTATTCATTGCCATTAAAGTGAAATTACTGAACCTACACATAGGAGCCTGAGAAAAATGCTCATTTTAGAAGAAAATTTCAAACGGCACTCTCTTCACATTTTGTATTAATATGAATCAAATGAATTAATCTTAAAATAAATGGGTACATTAAAATATATAGTCTTTAGGAAGAGGGTCCATATACACTGTAAAAAATTATTTGGGAGTGACGCTTTTCAAAAGCGGTTTTCAAATAACTTGTTACTTGCTATTAATTTAACTGTTTGTGAGTAAAAACTGATTCTACACCAAAATTATTTGAGGGGTATATTTGGTGGTACTTGGAATCAAAATATTCGAAAGCCCCTGTACAATACACAATCATCTAAATGTTTCTTTTCCCTCTGTTAGGTCTAGAAATCGAGTGGCGCAGCTGAAGGCCCAAGATGCCCGAGCAGAGCAACGACTACCGTGTGGTGGTGTTTGGAGCAGGGGGTGTGGGGAAGAGCTCCCTGGTGCTCCGTTTTGTGAAAGGCACTTTCCGGGACACCTACATCCCAACGGTGGAGGACACGTACCGGCAGGTGATCAGCTGTGACAAGAGCGTCTGCACCCTGCAGATCACAGACACAACCGGCAGCCACCAGTTTCCTGCCATGCAGCGTCTGTCCATCTCCAAGGGTCACGCATTCATCCTGGTCTACTCCATCACAAGTAAGCAATCCCTGGAAGAATTAAAGCCCATATACCAGCAGATTCTTGCTATCAAAGGCAACGTAGAGAACATCCCCATCATGCTCGTGGGAAACAAGAGTGATGAGACTCAACGGGAAGTGAAGACCGAGGATGGAGAGGCCCAGTCCAAGATCTGGAAGTCTGCTTTCATGGAGACCTCGGCTAAGACTAACCACAATGTCACTGAGCTTTTCCAGGAGCTTCTCAACTTGGAGAAGAAGAGGAACATGAGTTTGAACATCGATGGCAAGCATTCTGGGAAGCAAAGCCGGGCTGACAAGCTGAAGGGGAAATGCAGCGTCATGTAGAGCGCTTGTTAGAGACATGGTGAGATAAAGCGGAGAGATAGAGTGATAAAATAACAAAGGAAAGGAACTGAGGAGGGAAAAATGAATGGAGATGGTGTTATTTGACATTTCATGCTTATTTCCGATAACAAGGATTTTACACTGACATCTGAAATTTCATCCTTCACCACAGTCTTTGGCCTTAACAAGCACTGGCCTGTTCATATTGCCTTGTCTGTTTCTATTACAGAGCATCACCACCATCTCTCACATCTGAGAAAAATTCAGACAGCAATCGCTTGCTAAACAACCCTTTTTGAGTTCATGATGCAAATATTTGTATTCAATGGTTGCTCCTGCATAGCTAAAGCAGTCAGGCTTTATATCGGCCTTGAGATGGTATCCAGACATAAGACTTTGCATAATGACAACTAAACTTTTGTTTTGTATATTTATTCAAATTGAGTTGAGCAAGTAGCATCAGTATGAGATTATATAACAATATAGTCAAACCACCCTTTAATACTTTACTACAGGTTGTGTAGAATGCACTTTTATTTGTTGTCCTCATAACATTTTGATGATTACTTTTGCATGCCCTTATATCTTAAAAAATACCAACCGATATTTAGGACAATGATTTTGTTAAACATTAGCAAAATACCAGAGAAACATATAATGCTTTGTAAAATTATTACCTGCAGTGACATCAAGGCAGATCAAAAATCTGAAAGCATATAGACACATATTTCATGCAGATGCACACATGCTTATGTAAAGCAGCAAGCGCTCATCATCATCTCTGGAATTCAGCTGCTCAAAATTGAGACACTTTTGGCCTCCCTAGTAATTTAGAGTGAGCCAGAATCTCCATCTTCTTTTTTTATGTTTCTCAAGATGAACTGCTCATATTTTATAACTGTATAACTGAGACAATAACAAATGTAGTCAATCAGGAAATGAATGCATTTGCAGGAGGTGCATTTTGGCAGCAAAACTAAATTGAGGAAGCAAGTCTTCTACCCTATTTATAGAGACTAATGTGAACACAGAAGAGTATATATAATATGGCCACCTGAAGTTATAAGAGTTTTAGGATAAAGAAACCAAACATTTCATGTTCAAACATTTAAATTTTTTTGAAATGTTTGAACAAAAATGTTCGTTTTTATTTACATCACTGTACCAGACATTACAGGAGTTTTTGGGTTGAAACAATTCAGTTTTTGTGTTCTCAGTGACCCTTATAAGAACGCCACCAACCTGTTTCAGTTTCGGTAAGAGAATGCAATCACACTGCAAATCAGCCTTTGACAAAAGAAATCTTCAAAAGGCCTTGATTGTATAGCATTATATTTTTATTTAACCAGCTGATTGCTTTTGTACACTGATGTGAGAAAGAGCCCCTTTAATATGTTTTCAGGTTGTGCATTACAGATCTGACAACATTGTTTATCCATGTTGTGCTGGTTTGCTATTGAACAGGGTACACCAGAAATGAGTAGAAAAAGAAAGCTTTACACATCAACATTTCAGAAAACTAATACAAATAAGACAGAATTCATATGGTTTATTTTGTTAGACTTGTAAATTAAGCAATTTTGGTGACATATTATAATCCTGTGGTAAAAAGCGACTTATTAAAAAGAAGTATATTAAACACTCAGATATGAATGATAACATTTCACACGAGGAAAACCATACATTTTATTTTGGCGCAGGTAGAAAAATAGCATTATAAATAAGTAGAAGAGTATTATATCCCACCCCCTGTATACAGTAGCTATAATGATATACTGTGACAAGCATTGCAATAGAACAGAAAACAATATCGTCAGTCATAGGCCTATATAGTTTCCGGTTTGCTGTCAGTTAATATTATGACTCAGCCTGTTGCCTCTGATTGATGTATATGATTAATATTTTAATATTAATTCCCTGGATGCCACACCAACACATTCATCCCCTTAAAATGGTGCTATAATTTACCACCTCCCTACTGGTGACAGCAGTTCTGCTCTGCATGGTTTATGCAGTCATATCATGATAAAAATCCCCTCTTTTATCACTCTGCAGAGTTTTGCTGATTTATGGCTTTGTAATTTGCTAAATTCAGAACAACGCCTCATCCATCTATCGTGACTGTATTCGAATCCGTTATACCTGAATCTACGTGTCCAATCTCTATAAAGCTCCTTCGGCTGGCGTATGAGTCACACTGCTGATACCATCAGACTCTGCAAGCTGCACGAGAGGAAAACTGCAGAGCGTCTTGCATTTTACATGCATGGGAAGTCTGCGCTCTCTGTAGAGTGTCAGCTACCTGCGATCCTTTCGGTTGACTTGCCTCCGCAATGCCAATGCCCACCAGTTCTGTGTATAAAATCATTTTTTGAACACATATCATGCACATTTTATTGTAAATATTTGTAAACTGTATGTAAAGAATATGACACTGTAAAGCAGGGGTCTCCAAACTCGTTCCTGGAGGGCCGGTGTCCTGCAGAGTTTAGCTCCAACTTGCCTCAACACACCTGCCTGGAAGTTTCTAGTATACCTAGTAAGACCTTGATTAACTAGTTCAGGTGTGTTTGATCAGGGTTGGAGCTAAACTCTGCAGCACACCGGCCCTCCAGAACCGAGTTTGGAGACCCCTGCTGTAAAGAAGTCATCACTGACTCTTGTCGGATGAACCTACAGACATGGACACAATTCCTTTGAAAGCTCTTCATGTGTTTGGTTGGAATCCCAGGGGACTTTAGTGTACATCTGGATTATCTTCATGCATTTTTCAGTTGGTATCTTAAATCTGGTTTACACAGTGAGCACTTTAAATGCCTAAGGGTAATGGAATGTATTGTGAAACATATGTAAATGCCGACCTCCTTTTCATAATTCAAACTACGCATGGTCCCACTTGATGTTTAGCCAGCATGAGGGCAAGCAACAAAACTGTGAAGTGACTTTTCAACTCGGCATTTTATTATTTTCTTTTTTGTACAATATTTTACAAAAGTTTTTTCTTTTTTTAATTATTATAGCTATTAGCTACTACTGTGTATGATATGTCCTTTAGCAATAGTCTTCCAGACATGGTATGCTGTGCTCACGCATCCCAAATGAAGGAAAATACGTACTAATATATATGTATAGATATACCTGCAAATATTCTCTAATAAATCTGCAAATTGATTTTCATAATAAAAAAAATGAAAGCAAAAAGTCTGTCTGTTTTCCCCTCTCAAAACATCTGATTGTAGCCCCATGTGCTAAACCTGGTTTCCATGGCAACATAAGGAGGCACACTACACTTTCGGCTGACCCAGGTGTGCTCCAATACACAAATGATGTAATTTACAAAGCAGTAATGCATAAAAGCCCATTCAATAAAGCATCAACTGTGCTGCACCCAGGGTTTTATGGGACAAAGCAGACTGAATAGTCAATGTAAAACTATCTGAAAGAGAACTACATTTCTAGTAAGTGCTGCAGAAGAGCTTGAAAACCATGCTATTAAGGCAAAGGATGGCTAATTTAAGGAACTAAAAATGTAGAGACAGGTTTTCTTTTGTTCAACTGACAATTTTATATAGGTACCAAATGTCCAGTGCTTACAATGATATATAGAAATACATAATGATTATATGAGAAATACAATGCATATAATAAATAACACACACACATATATAATGATTAGAATTTTTAATTATATTTTATATTATATTATTTTATATATATATATATATATTTATTATTATATTAATTATATATTTATATTAATTATATTTATGTTAATTCCAAATGTGCAGTGCTTATAATGATATGTACGAGAAATACATGATGATTATATAAATACAATTCATACTATAAATAATAATAACACACATACAATGATTAGAATTTTTAATTCGTTTTTATATTATATTATTTTTATATATATATTTTAATTATATTTATTATTTGTTTATATTCATTATGTATTTATATTAATTATATTTATATTGATTCCAAATGTCCAGTGCTTACAATGATATAAGAGAAATATATAATGATTAAATGAGAAATACAATGCATATAATAAATAATAATAACACATACACATATATAATGATTTAAATGTTTAATTATATTTTGTATTATATTTTTTATATATATTTATATGAATTATATTTATATTAATTCCAAATGTCCAGTGCTTACAATGATATATAAGAGAAATACATAATGATTATATGAGAAATACAATGCATATAATAAATAAAAATAATAACACACACACACACACACACACACACACACATACATTATGGTTAAACTATTT